ATGTGGAAGCGTGAGTCACATCAGGATGACGAACTCGTGGGTGTCAAAAACCAGAGACACAACATGACAGAACTGTTGGACGAGTTTGGAAGTGTTCGGAGGTGAGACAAAAGCATACGCCGCTTTAAAAACTGCTTAATACAGTTTAAAACAATATATACACAACGTTAGCAAGATGAGAACAAGCTAGTAATGTGTATTAAGAAATGGCAGCGTGTGTGAAATGGCGAGCGTGTGTGAAATGGGAGCGTGTGTGAAATGACGAGCGTGTGTGAAATGGCAGCGTTAGCGTGTGTGAAATGGCGAGCGTGTGTGAAATGGCGAGCGTGTGTGAAATGCCGAGCGTGTGTGAAATGGCAGCGTTAGCGTGTGTGAAATGGCGAGCGTGTGTGAAATGGCGAGCGTGTGTGAAATGGCGAGCGTGTGTGAAATGGCGAGCGTGTGTGAAATGCCGAGCGTGTGTGAAATGGCGAGCGTGGGTGAAATGGCGAGCGTGTGTGTGAAATGGCGAGCGTGTGTGAATTTGCGAGCGTGTGTGAAATGGCGAGCGTGTGTGAATTTGCGAGCGTGTGTGAAATGGCGAGCATGTGTGAAATGGCAAGCGTGTGTGAAATGGCGAGCGTGTGAAATGGCTAGCGTGTGTGAAATGGCGAGCTTGTGTGAAATGGCTAGCGTGTGTGAAATGGCGAGCGTGTGTGAAATGGCGAGCGTGTGTGAATTGGCGAGCGTGTGTGAAATGGCGAGCATGTGTGAAATGGCAAGCGTGTGTGAAATGGCGAGCGTGTGTGAAATGGCAAGCGTGTGTGAAATGGCGAGCATGTGTGAAATGGCAAGCGTGTGTGAAATGGTGAGCATGTGTGAAATGGCAAGCGTGTGTGAAATGGCGAGCGTGTGTGAAATGGCGAGCGTGTGTGAAATGGCGAGCGTGTGTGAAATGGCGAGCGTGTATGAAATGGCGAGCGTGGAGGCAAAGCTAAAGATCACAATTAGCCTTAATAAACTGAGAAATGCTGCAGCTTTTGCTCTTTCTCTTTGATTCTTCTCTAAATCATGAGTCTTGGAACGATCGCTCAGAAGCTGCCGGTAAAGTCGCTCCCCAAAAGGTAATATGGGTAAATAGAAAAATATGAACTAATAAATGGATCGCCAAATAAAATAAGCCGAAAAAGAGATAGAAAAGGTCCAAATTTGCCGACACTAATTAGAAAACTTAAAGACCGTCTCAAAACAAGATTTTTCAATGGAACGAGAAATATATTTGCTTTATCTGTGTATTGCCTAAGGACACAACCACAGTTTTACACTTTGCAGCCGCAGCCGCCCCACTGTGGCTCCTGCTGTTCCCCCAGAGGTCTCCCATCACAGCACTAACCAAGCCCTGCCCTGCTTAGCTCCAAAGGTCTGTCTGGATCTGGCTTTCAGCTGCAACTCTAACAGGTCACATAAGATATACACAGGATACAGATGGAGGATACAGACGCAGGATACAGACGGAGGATACAGACGCAGGATACAGAGACTGGATACAGACGCAGGATACAGACACAGGATACAGAGACAGGATACAGACGCAGGATACAGACACAGGATACAGACGCAGGATACAGACGCAGGATACAGACGCAGGATACAGACGCAGGATACAGACGCAGGATACAGACGCAGGATACAGACACAGGATACAGACGCAGGATACAGACACAGGATACAGACGCAGGATACAGACGCAGGATACAGAGACAGGATACAGACGCAGGATACAGACGCAGGATACAGACACAGGATACAGAGACAGGATACAGACGCAGGATACAGACGCAGGATACAGACGCAGGATACAGACGCAGGATACAGACACAGGATACAGACACTGGATACAGACACAGGATACAGACACTGGATACAGACACAGGATACAGACGCAGGATACAGACGCAGGATACAGACGCAGGATACAGACGCAGGATACAGACACAGGATACAGACGCAGGATACAGACGCAGGATACAGACGCAGGATACAGACGCAGGATACAGACGCAGGATACAGACGCTGGATACAGACACTGGATACAGACACTGGATACAGACACTGGATACAGACGCAGGATACAGACGCAGGATACAGACGCAGGATACAGACGCAGGATACAGACGCAGGATACAGACACTGGATACAGACACAGGATACAGACGCAGGATACAGACGCAGGATACAGACACAGGATACAGACACAGGATACAGACGCAGGATACAGACGCAGGATACAGACGCAGGATACAGACGCAAGATACAAACGCAGGATACAGACGCAGGATACAGACACAGGATACAGACGCAGGATACAGACGCAGGATACAGACGCAGGATACAGACACAGGATACAGACACAGGATACAGACGCAGGATACAGACACATGATACAGACGCAGGATACAGACACAGGATACAGACACAGGATACAGATGCAGGATACAGACACAGGATACAGACACAGGATACAGAGACTGGATACAGACGCAGGATACAGACGCAGGATAGACGCAGGATACAGACGCAGGATACAGACACAGGATACAGAGACTGGATACAGACGCAGGATACAGACACAGGATACAGACACAGGATACAGACGCAGGATACAGACGCAGGATACAGACACAGGATACAGACACAGGATACAGACGCAGGATACAGACAGGATACAGACGCAGAGGATACAGACACAGGATACAGACACAGGATACAGATGCAGGATACAGACACAGGATACAGACACAGGATACAGAGACTGGATACAGACGCAGGATACAGACGCAGGATAGACGCAGGATACAGACGCAGGATACAGACACAGGATACAGAGACTGGATACAGACGCAGGATACAGACACAGGATATAGACGCAGGATATAGACGCAGGATACAGACGCAGGATACAGACGCAGGATACAGACGCAGGATACAGACGCAGGATACAGACGCAGGAGACAGACAGAGGATACAGACACAGGATACAGAGACTGGATACAGACGCAGGATACAGACGCAGGATACAGACACAGGATGCATTAATAACACAAATATTGTTTTTGAACCCAACTTTACTGATTATACCAAAAGGTTCAGATGCAGTTTGACGGTAAAAAGTGCCCAAAGAAGTAGTTCCAAGTTTCAAGTAGATTTAGTGACTCAAAAACTGATCCACCAAGGGTTAAAAAGGTGGTTATTAATCGACTAAAATGAACTTAAAATATCTGTCGACTTCTGCTCAAACCTGGACGAGCCTCAGAAACAGTGAGATGGAGACGTTTTGGCCGCGATGCTAACATGTAAGAACCATGTGAGAAACGCCAGACGGGCTTCTCCCATCGCAGCAAACAACACTAAACTCGGGAAAATCCAATGTGCCCCAAGGCCTGCTGGGAAATCCGCCAGCCTGGCCCTGGATCAATAACGACCAAACCACCTCCATAGAAGCTGCAGCACTCACTACGAGAGACTAGTGTTTTATTAGCAGGTATTAGCTCGATGGGCAGGTTCAAGAACTTTTTTGCCTTGTGCAGTAAAACCCCAGTGGAATAACTGTGCAAGACGTGTGTTATCAAGACCAGTGTGAAGACTGCGAACGAGGAGGCGTCAGACTGCGAACGAGGAGGCGTCGGACTGCGAACGAGGAGGCGTCGGACTGCGAACGAGGAGGGGTCAGACTGCGAACGAGGAGGCGTCAGACTGCGAACGAGGAGGCGTCGGACTGCGAACGAGGAGGCGTCAGACTGCGAACGAGGAGGCGTCGGACTGCGAACGAGGAGGCGTAGGACTGCGAACGAGGAGGCGTCGGACTGCGAACGAGGAGGCGTCAGACTGCGAACGAGGAGGCGTCGGACTGCGAACGAGGAGGCGTCGGACTGCGAACGAGGAGGCGTCGGACTGCGAACAGGGAGGCGTCAGACTGCGAACGAGGAGGCGTCGGACTGCGAACAGGGAGGCGTCAGACTGCGAACGCGGAGGCGTCAGACTGCGAACAGGGAGGCGTCAGACTGCGAACGAGGAGGCTTCAGACTGCGAACGAGGAGGCGTCGGACTGCGAACGAGGAGGCGTCAGACTGCGAACGAGGAGGCGTCAGACTGAGGCGGACTGAGGCGGACTGAGGCGGACTGAGGCGGACTGAGGAGGACTGAGGCGATCTCGTGGCGTGGGTTAAATGTAGCCGCTGGCGATGGACACGGAGCGAGCGGTGACTAAGAACCTCTGTATCTTCATCTTCATCTTCATCAGGAGAAGCCTCAGAGCCAGGTTTATACCACAGGGAAACCACAGGGAAAGACAGTTCTGTTTAGCTGTGCTACAACTGAGGGATTTTATATTTGTATCTTTTTAATGTTCTGTGATTATTTAGGATTTTAATGCTTTCTTGTTTTGTTCAGCACTTTGAATTGCCTTGGTATGAATTCGGGCGTTCTGCTCTCCCAAAATTCCATCCACTGAGCGGCGCTGTGATCAAAAAATGACACCGTTTGTTGCCCAGTTCACTTCCGGTTGATTTCATACAATGGCGAATATGGCTCACGAAAACAACAAACGATTGACAGTGCCTGAATTGCGTGAAAGGTTGAAGCGAAAGGGTATTTGCAGTGTGGGAAAACGAAAGGAGGAATTGTTGTTGCTAGTTCAACGAGCGGATGGTGTTTATGAAGATTTAGAAGAAGATGACAGCGAGCAGAGTGAACGAAAACGGCTGTGTGTGCGAGTGACAGATGGTAACAATGAGAATGAAGTTCAGCTAAGAGGGAAGAATGTGAATTGGACGGATGATTTGCGCGATATGCCACTAGTTAGAGACGGGAATGTATTTGCATACAGAAAATGACGAAAACACTCAACCATTTAGAGAAAATGCGCCGGGCAGAGAGAACCGGAAGTTGCGAAGGCAAGTGTTACCCATAATGCAACGCAAAATTCAGTCGCTCCCCCGCCCATCGGATGGAATTTTGGGAGAGCAGAACGCCCGAATTGTGCTATACAAATAAACTTGCCTTGTCTGGTCCATCTGGACTCGAGTCCAAATGGTAAAAGATAAGATAGAGTATTGATCTCTGTCACATCTGACACAGACAGAATCATCAGATTGTGCTAAAGACAGAAATGTGAAACATGTTAAATGCAGGATATTTTATGTTCAATAAACAGTGACAAAGAAACAGAGTCAATATCAGAGCAGGTTCTTTCAGTCTTATACAGTGACTTAAAGTGACTTGTTGTACAGTCTGACAGCGGTGGGGATAAAGGCCCTGCTCCTCAGCTCGGCACGGTGGCTGAGTGGATAGCACTCTCGCCTCTCAGCAAGAAGGTCCTGGGTTCGAATCCCGGTTGGACCAGGGCCTTTCTGAGTGGAGTTTGCATGTTCTCCCCGTGTCTGCGCAGGTTTCCTCCGGGTGCTCCGGTTTCCCCTACCACTAAAAATATGTACAATAGGTCTGGCATGTGCCTCCTGTACTGGCCCCACTCCCATCAATTGTAGACTGCTTTGAGACTCCGATGTGCAGTGAAAAGGCAGTATATAAATAAAGCTTACTTACTACTTACTTACTTACTCAGCTCCTCCTCAGTCCTGTGCAGTGGGAGGTGCTGTTTATGAAGGAGGTGACTGTGACGCACCTCCTGAACATTCAGTTCTTGATAAAGTTTTGCAGTAATGAAAACAAACGTCCAATTGCTGCAGGTACGATTCCAAACTAAAGTCAGAACAATAGTTTTGCCATAATTTGTTGAAAACCCTTTAAAGGAGCAGTGTGTAAACATGTGGCCAAAAGTGGTACTGCAGCCTCTCCCACTCTCCCTGACTCAGGTTGCCAGATATGCAGACGAATCCAGCTGGGACCATAACAGCTGAATAGACAAGAGTTTTGTCAACAACAAATCTATAACCAACACCTTTTTCACAAAGATAGAAATCCTGCTTTTATTCCTTGTTTTGTCGTTAATGATTTGAGAATCATAACGAGACCTTTTTTAGTTCTTAGGGCCCTTTAAAGATGACAGATTGGGGCCCTTTAATGAAAAGCAGAGAGCGGCGTGAGGCGGAGTCCTGCGGAGACTGACAATAAAACTCTAATTAAAAACAGCTCAATCCCACGAGCACCACTGGGTCCTGGGTATTTACGCTTCACTGCGAGAGGTTTGTGCTTTTGAAAAAGGAAACGAACATGAGTGGCGGGAAATAAAATCTATTCTGGTGTTATTCACTCATAATTAAATCAATACAGTAGAACAAAGTGCTATTTTATTTTCTGCTGTGGTTCTGTGATGTCTGTGATAAGTTCAAGCACAAACCATAATAAAGTAGTTTCATTTTCCTCCATGTTTGTAAAGTTTGAATAATATGAAAAACATGAATCATAAAATCAGGAGTTGAATGCTGCGGTTTCAGGTGAAAGTGGAATGGCCCTTCTAAGGTTGTTACCGGTGTGGGCGGGTCCCGGCTCAAGTCCAAAAAGCAGGCTGCAATACCACCCCGGGCCAGTGGGGGTGGACCCGTTGGCCCTTGGTCCAAAAGTCAGTGGGTCTTGGTCCAAAAGTCAGTGGGTCTTGGTCCAAAAGTCAGTGGGTCTTGGTCCAAAAGTCAGTGGGTCTTGGTCCAAAAGTCAGTGGGTCTTGGTCCAAAAGAAAGTGGGTCTTGGTCCAAAAGAAAGTGGGTCTTGGTCCAAAAGAAAGTGGGTCTTGGTCCAAAAGTCAGTGGGTCTTGGTCCAAAAGTCAGTGGGTCTTGGTCCAAAAGTCAGTGGGTCTTGGTCCAAAAGTCAGTGGGTCTTGGTCCAAAAGTCAGTGGGTCTTGGTCCAAAAGTCAGTGGGTCTTGGTCCAAAAGAAAGTGGGTCTTGGTCCAAAAGTCAGTGGGTCTTGGTCCAAAAGTCAGTGGGTCTTGGTCCAAAAGTCAGTGGGTCTTGGTCCAAAAGTCAGTGGGTCTTGGTCCAAAAGTCAGTGGGTCTTGGTCCAAAAGTCAGTGGGTCTTGGTCCAAAAGTCAGTGGGTCTTGGTCCAAAAGTCAGTGGGTCTTGGTCCAAAAGTCAGTGGGTCTTGGTCCAAAAGAAAGTGGGTCTTGGTCCAAAAGTCAGTGGGTCTTGGTCCAAAAGTCAGTGGGTCTTGGTCCAAAAGTCAGTGGGTCTTGGTCCAAAAGTCAGTGGGTCTTGGTCCAAAAGTCAGTGGGTCTTGGTCCAAAAGTCAGTGGGTCTTGGTCCAAAAGTCAGTGGGTCTTGGTCCAAAAGAAAGTGGGTCTTGGTCCAAAAGAAAGTGGGTCTTGGTCCAAAAGAAAGTGGGTCTTGGTCCAAAAGAAAGTGGGTCTTGGTCCAAAAGAAAGTGGGTCTTGGTCCAAAAGTCAGTGGGTCTTGGTCCAAAAGTCAGTGGGTCTTGGTCCAAAAGTCAGTGGGTCTTGGTCCAAAAGTCAGTGGGTCTTGGTCCAAAAGAAAGTGGGTCTTGGTCCAAAAGTCAGTGGGTCTTGGTCCAAAAGTCAGTGGGTCTTGGTCCAAAAGTCAGTGGGTCTTGGTCCAAAAGTCAGTGGGTCTTGGTCCAAAAGTCAGTGGGTCTTGGTCCAAAAGTCAGTGGGTCTTGGTCCAAAAGTCAGTGGGTCTTGGTCCAAAAGTCAGTGGGTCTTGGTCCAAAAGTCAGTGGGTCTTGGTCCAAAAGAAAGTGGGGGTCAAAAGTTGGGTCCAAAAGTCAGTGGGTCTTGGTCCAAAAGTCAGTGGGTCTTGGTCCAAAAGTCAGTGGGTCTTGGTCCAAAAGTCAGTGGGTCTTGGTCCAAAAGTCAGTGGGTCTTGGTCCAAAAGTCAGTGGGTCTTGGTCCAAAAGACAGGTGGGTCTTGGTCCAAAAGAAAGTGGGTCTTGGTCCAAAAGAAAGTGGGTCTTGGTCCAAAAGAAAGTGGGTCTTGGTCCAAAAGAAAGTGGGTCTTGGTCCAAAAGAAAGTGGGTCTTGGTCCAAAAGTCAGTGGGTCTTGGTCCAAAAGTCAGTGGGTCTTGGTCCAAAAGTCAGTGGGTCTTGGTCCAAAAAGTCAGTGGTTGGTCCAAAAGAAAGTGGGTCTTGGTCCAAAAGTCAGTGGGTCTTGGTCCAAAAGTCAGTGGGTCTTGGTCCAAAAGTCAGTGGGTCTTGGTCCAAAAGTCAGTGGGTCTTGGTCCAAAAGTCAGTGGGTCTTGGTCCAAAAGTCAGTGGGTCTTGGTCCAAAAGAAAGTGGGTCTTGGTCCAAAAGTCAGTGGGTCTTGGTCCAAAAGTCAGTGGGTCTTGGTCCAAAAGTCAGTGGGTCTTGGTCCAAAAGTCAGTGGGTCTTGGTCCAAAAGTCAGTGGGTCTTGGTCCAAAAGTCAGTGGGTCTTGGTCCAAAAGTCAGTGGGTCTTGGTCCAAAAGAAAGTGGGTCTTGGTCCAAAAGAAAGTGGGCCTTGGTCCAAAAGTCAGTGGGTCTTGGTCCAAAAGTCAGTGGGTCTTGGTCCAAAAGTCAGTGGGTCTTGGTCCAAAAGTCAGTGGGTCTTGGTCCAAAAGTCAGTGGGTCTTGGTCCAAAAGTCAGTGGGTCTTGGTCCAAAAGTCAGTGGGTCTTGGTCCAAAAGTCAGTGGGTCTTGGTCCAAAAGTCAGTGGGTCTTGGTCCAAAAGAAAGTGGGTCTTGGTCCAAAAGTCAGTGGGTCTTGGTCCAAAAGTCAGTGGGTCATGGTCCAAAAGTCAGTGGGTCTTGGTCCAAAAGTCAGTGGGTCTTGATCCAAAAGTCAGTGGGTCTTGGTCCAAAAGTCAGTGGGTCTTGGTCCAAAAGTCAGTGGGTCTTGGTCCAAAAGTCAGTGGGTCTTGGTCCAAAAGTCAGTGGGTCTTGGTCCAAAAGTCAGTGGGTCTTGGTCCAAAAGTCAGTGGGTCTTGGTCCAAAAGAAAGTGGGTCTTGGTCCAAAAGTCAGTGGGTCTTGGGCCAAAAGAAAGTGGGTCTTGGTCCAAAAAAAAGTGGGTCTTGGTCCAAAAGTCAGTGGGTCTTGGTCCAAAAGTCAGTGGGTCTTGGTCCAAAAGTCAGTGGGTCTTGGTCCAAAAGTCAGTGGGTCTTGGTCCAAAAGTCAGTGGGTCTTGGTCCAAAAGTCAGTGGGTCTTGGGCCAAAAGAAAGTGGGTCTTGGTCCAAAAGAAAGTGGATCTTGGTCCAAAAAAAAGTGGGTCTTGGTCCAAAGCTTGGTTCCAGATGATGTCTGAGGGGAGTGTATGTTTTTGGACCAGTCTAGTTTAGTCGCTGTGGACTTTTAAATGCGCTCGATGAATGGGGCTAATGCAGCTAACACATGCGCAAATGCCCCCGTGGCCATTTGAAACTGGTGACGGTGAAAGTGATGTCACATGAGCTTGAACGGCGGCGATAGGCGTGACTACGGCGGTTCACTTCTACAGTCTATGGTTGTTACCTTATTAAACCAAAAGTATTGCTCCCTAGTTTCACAGAGACTTAAGATCAGACTTAGAGGGTTTTGCTTCTCTCTGATCACATGAATATATTTCACACTTAAAAGCACGAGTTTGCACATATCTGACACATGAAGAGACAAAGTAAATACTCTCAGGATCCTGTATTTGTATGAATAAGGAACTGGATCCACTCGGTACGTGATCAAACACAGCAGCAGTAAAACTAACCTACATAAAGCTGCATCTGAATAAAACATTTGGTGTTTGGTTTCATTAGAGCGCTGTAATCTCGTTAAACCGGGGCTTTCCTTCCGTCTAATTGGGAGGTTAGCTTAGCGCCTGTGTAGCGGGCTGCATTGTGTGTGTCCCCTGGTTACTCGGATAATTAGCGGGAAACAACAACTTCCTCAAATGATGTGTGTTACGTAAACAGACTGATTTACTTACTGCTTCCTGCGAGAGGGCAACAACAAACTCACCCCCGGGAACACCAGGTTCTGGGACAAGGTTCTGGGACGAGGTTCTGGGGCAAGGTTCTGGAAGGAGGTTCTGGGACGAGGTTCTGGGACGAGGTTCTGGGACGAGGTTCTGGGACAAGGTTCTGGGGCAAGGTTCTGGAAGGAGGTTCTGGGACGAGGTTCTGGGAGGAGGTTCTGGGAGGAGGTTCTGGGAGGAGGTTCTGGGAGGAGGTTCTGGGACGAGGTTCTGGGACGAGGTTCTGGGACGAGGTTCTGGGAGGAGGTTCTGGGACGAGGTTCTGGGGCAAGGTTCTGGGTCAAGGTTCTGGGAGGAGGTTCTGGGACAAGGTTCTGGGAGGAGGTTCTGGGACGAGGTTCTGGGAGGAGGTTCTGGGACGAGGTTCTGGGAGGAGGTTCTGGGACAAGGTTCTGGGAGGAGGTTCTGGGACGAGGTTCTGGGAGGAGGTTCTGGGACGAGGTTCTGGGGCAAGGTTCTGGGTCAAGGTTCTGGGAGGAGGTTCTGGGAGGAGGTTCTGGGACGAGGTTCTGGGGCAAGGTTCTGGGTCAAGGTTCTGGGAGGAGGTTCTGGGAGGAGGTTCTGGGAGGAGGTTCTGGGACGAGGTTCTGGGGCAAGGTTCTGGGTCAAGGTTCTGGGAGGAGGTTCTGGGACGAGGTTCTGGGAGGAGGTTCTGGGACGAGGTTCTGGGAGGAGGTTCTGGGACGAGGTTCTGGGAGGAGGTTCTGGGACGAGGTTCTGGGAGAAGGATCGGACCAGTCGCAGTCACTTAAAAACAAAAATATACCGTGACTTTATAATGCACCTAATCCCAGTGGTTTGCATGTTCTCCCTCTGCTGCTAAATGTTATTGGCTTTGTCTCTTGTACATTGTGACTAAAGCTACGTCTAATATTAAACAGTATTTTAAAATGTTGTAATATGTTAAAACTTATATGATTGTGTTGTTACTACAGATGGAAAGTGCTAAATCTGGTGCGGCCATCTTTAATATTTACTGCACATTATCGTCCTTAAGTCATTGACTGCCGTATTTGCCTCAGACCCTCTTTTCGACTGCGGATTACAGGAAAACAAAACTAGCTAAAAACAAACTTATTTTTGCTGATGAAAGAAGACAATCCTGTCTTTCAGAATCTGGTTTCATTTTTCACATAGTTTCAGAAAATAATATTCTGTGGGTCTTGAGAATCAGTGAAATCCTCAAAAACGGCAGCAGTCAATGAAACTGAAGTCTAAATGTGAACCTGACTCATGGTCTCAGAGATGTGTCGTTCATGGTCTCAGAGATGTGTCGTTCATGGTCTCAGAGATGTGTCGTTCATGGTCTCAGAGATGTGTCGTTCATGGTCTCAGAGATGTGTCGTTCATGGTCTCAGAGATGTGTCGTTCATGGTCTCAGAGATGTGTCGTTCATGGTCTCAGAGATGTGTCGTTCATGGTCTCAGAGATGTGACGTTCATGGTCTCAGAGATGTGTCGTTCATGGTCTCAGAGATGTGTCGTTCATGGTCTCAGAGATGTGACGTTCATGGTCTCAGAGATGTGTCGTTCATGGTCTCAGAGATGTGACGTTCATGGTCTCAGAGATGTGTCGTTCATGGTCTCAGAGATGTGTCGTTCATGGTCTCAGAGATGTGACGTTCATGGTCTCAGAGATGTGTCGTTCATGGTCTCAGAGATGTGTCGTTCATGGTCTCAGAGATGTGTCGTTCATGGTCTCAGAGATGTGTCGTTCATGGTCTCAGAGATGTGTCGTTCATGGTCTCAGAGTTGGAACAATCTCAGAGAACATGAACTTGGCACAAGATTTGTTACTTCTGCTCTAATAATAAATAAACTGAATATTTGATCGATCTCTGCTCATTTAAAGCTGGGGTTCGTAACTTACAGACCACAGAACAAAAACTATGTAATAAACTGCCATATAAACTAGCACCTGGTTCTAGCACCTGGTTCTAACACCTGGTTCTAACACCTGGTTCTAACACCTGGTTCTAGCACCTGGTTCTAGCACCTGGTTCTAACACCTGGTTCTAACACCTGGTTCTAGCACCTGGTTCTAGCACCTGGTTCTAGCACCTGGTTCTAGCACCTGGTTCTAGCACCTGGTTCTAACACCTGGTTCTAACACCTGGTTCTAACACCTGGTTCTAGCACCTGGTTCTAGCACCTGGCTCTAGCACCTGGTTCTAGCACCTGGTTCTAACACCTGGTTCTGACACCTGGTTCCGACACCTGGTTCCGACACCTGGTTCTGACACCTGGTTCTAACACCTGGTTCTAACACCTGGTTCTAACACCTGGTTCTAGCACCTGGTTCTAGCACCTGGTTCTAGCACCTGGTTCTAGCACCTGGTTCTAGCACCTGGTTCTAACACCTGGTTCTAACACCTGGTTCTAACACCTGGTTCTAGCACCTGGCTCTAGCACCTGGCTCTAGCACCTGGTTCTAGCACCTGGTTCTGACACCTGGTTCTGACACCTGGTTCTAACACCTGGTTCTAACACCTGGTTCTAACACCTGGTTCTAGCACCTGGTTCTAGCACCTGGTTCAAACACCTGGTTCTAACACCTGGTTCTAACACCTGGTTCTAACACCTGGTTCTGACACCTGGTTCTGACACCTGGTTCTAACACCTGGTTCTAACACCTGGTTCTAGCACCTGGTTCTAGCACCTGGTTCAAACACCTGGGTTCTGACACCTGGTTCTAAACTGGTTCTAACACTGTCTTCACCTCAGTGTAAATTAGCACTGCTGCTCCCTGGGTTGGCTAATAAAATGAAAATGGCATTCTCATTACTACTACATAGCTCTCATTAGCTGCATACATAGCTCTCACTTTACATAGCTCTCATTAGTGTAAATTAGCACTGCTAGCTCCCTGCATACATAGCTAATAGCTAGCATACATAGCTCTCATTAGCTAGCATACATAGCTCTCATAGCTAGCATACATAGCTCTCATTAGCTAGCATACATAGCTCTCTACATACTAGCACTAGCTAGCATACATAGCTCTCATTAGCTAGCATACATAGCTCTCATTAGCTAGCATACATAGCTCTCACTAGCTAGCATACATAGCTCTCATTAGCTAGCATACATAGCTCTCATTAGCTAGCATACATAGCTCTCATTAGCTAGCATACATAGCTCTCACTAGCTAGCACAGTCTATACTCTCCCCAAAGTGTCAAAAAGTGACTTCCAGGGCTCAGATTAAATGTTTTCTAATAAGATATAGACTTCAGATATACTCTGTTAGACAAACAAAATGTATTATTTATGGTAAGAACCCCAGTTTAAGTTAGGTACCCCAGCTTTAACACACAGTGAGTCTATGGCTAAACAAGGCTGGTGGATTCTGGATTCACTCAAAGAAAACTTAAAATATAAACGTTTTTAATGAAACATGTTCTTACCTGGTCCTTGGTCATGCGGTGGTGTTGAAGAGGGATATATATAAAAGTAATTATATATATTTGTAGTTTGTCTGAGGCACAGTAGACGTAACAAGTTCACACGTGCTTCAATCAGTGACGGCTCTCAGCTGCGCCCTCTGGCGGCGGAGCAACAACACTGTCTGAGTTTAGAATTGTTTTATTTAAAAATGAATAAACATTAAGTAATTATCCAGCCAGATAGTTTCATTATCATTTGTACTACTACTACTACTACTACTGCTGCTACTGCTACTACTACTACTGCTACTGTTACTACTGCTACTGCTAATTCTACTGCTCCTACTGCTGCTGTTACTACTGCTACTACTACTACTACTGCTACTACTACTGCTACTACTATTAATACTACTACTACTGCTCGTTAGCAACAAAACTCAAATATTTTCATGCCTTTTTTACGGCATATAAACATTTAGATGTCGATGGCTCCTGTGATACAGAAACAGTTTGAGTTTTGTTGCTAACTCCGTCACAGACCAACAGAGCTGATGATGTCATGAGAAACCCCACTTCCATTGGTCTGTCTGTTAAACCCGGGGTGACGGAGGTGACGGAGGTGACGGGGGGTGACGGGGGTGACGGAGGTGACGGAGGTGACGGAGGTGACGGGGGTGACGGGGGTGACGGAGGTGACGGGGGTGACGGGGGTGACGGGGGTGACGGGGGTGACGGAGGTGACGGGGGTGACGGGGGGTGACGGAGGTGACGGAGGTGACGGGGGTGACGGGGGTGAGGGGGTGACGGGGTGACGGAGGTGACGGGGGTGACGGAGGTGACGGGGGTGACGGGGGTGACGGAGGTGACGGGGGTGACGGGGGTGACGGGGGTGACGGGGGTGACGGAGTTGACGGGGGTGACGGAGGTGACGAGGTGACGGAGGTGACGGGGGTGACGGAGGTGACGGAGGTGACGGAGGTGACGGAGGTGACGGGGGTGACGGGGGTGACGGGGGTGACGGGGGTGACGGGGTGACGGAGGTGACGGAGGTGACGGGGGTGACGGGGGTGACGGAGGTGACGGGGGTGACGGCGGTGACGGAGGTGACGGGGGTGACGGGGGTGACGGAGGTGACGGGGGTGACGGAGGTGACGGGGGTGACGGGGGTGACGGAGGTGACGGGGGTGACGGGGGTGACGGGGGTGACGGAGTTGACGGGGGTGACGGAGGTGACGAGGTGACGGGGGTGACGGGGGTGACGGAGGTGACGAGGTGACGGAGGTGACGGAGGTGACGGGGGTGACGGCGGTGACGGAGGTGACGGGGTGACGGGGGTGACGGAGGTGACGGGGGTGACGGAGGTGACGGGGGTGACGGGGGTGACGGAGGTGACGGGGGTGACGGGGTGACGGGGGTGACGTGGGGTGACGGAGTTGACGGGGGTGACGGAGGTGACGAGGTGACGGAGGTGATGGGGGTGACGGAGGTGACGGAGGTGACGGGGGTGACGGGGGGTGACGGGGGTGACGGGGGTGACGGAGGTGACGGAGGTGACGGGGGTGACGGGGGTGACGGAGGTGACGGGGGTGACGGCGGTGACGGAGGTGACGGGGGTGACGGGGGTGACGGAGGTGACGGAGGTGACGGAGGTGACGGAGGTGACGGGGGTGACGGAGGTGACGGAGGTGACGGAGGTGACGGGGGTGACGGAGGTGACGGGGGTGACGGAGGTGACGGGGGGTGACGGAGGTGACGGGGGTGACGGGGGTGACGGGGGTGACGGAGGTGACGAGGTGACGGAGGTGATGGGGGTGACGGAGGTGACGGAGGTGACGGAGGTGACGGGGGTGACGGAGGTGACGGGGGTGACGGGGGTGACGGAGGTGACGGAGGTGACGGAGGTGACGGAGGTGACGGAGGTGACGGGGGTGACGGAGGTGACGGAGGTGACGGAGGTGACGGGGGTGACGGAGGTGACGGGGGTGACGGAGGTGACGGAGGTGACGGGGGTGACGGAGGTGACAGGGGTGAGGTGTGCGATTGTTGTTGTTCTGCTCGTCTCCTCATCACGTCTTAATAAATGAAAAGCTTCCAGCCTCAGAGCGCGTCTCAATCACTGAGTGAAAGAAACTGCAGCGAAGCGTCTTGGGGCAGAGACCAGAGAGAGATACCAGTAAGAGACCAGAGAGAGACCAGAGAGAGACCAGAGAGAGATACCAGTAAGAGACCAGAGAGAGACCAGAGAGAGACCAGAGAGAGATACCAGTAAGAGACCAGAGAGAGACCAGAGAGAGATACCAGTAAGAGACCAGAGAGAGATACCAGTAAGAGACCAGAGAGAGACCAGAGAGAGAGACCAGAGAGAGAGACCAGAGAGAGACCAGAGAGATACCAGTAAGAGACCAGAGAGAGATACCAGTAAGAGACCAGAGAGAGACCAGAGAGAGATACCAGTAAGAGACTAGAGAGAGACCAGAGAGATATACCAGTAAGAGACCAGAGAGAGACCAGAGAGAGACCAGAGAGAGATACCAGTAAGAGACCAGAGAGAGACCAGAGAGAGACCAGAGAGAGACCAGAGAGAGAGACCAGAGAGAGAGACCAGAGAGAGAGACCAGAGAGAGAGACCAGAGAGAGACCAGAGAGAGAGACCAGAGAGAGATACCAGTAAGAGACCAGAGAGAGACCAGAGAGAGACCAGAGAGAGACCAGAGAGAGAGACCAGAGAGAGACCAGAGAGAGACCAGAGAGAGACCAGAGAGAGAGACCAGAGAGAGACCAGAGAGAGAGACCAGAGAGAGACCAGAGAGAGAGACCAGAGAGAGAGACCAGAGAGAGGCCAGAGAGAGACCAGAGAGATCAGAGAGAGACCAGAGAGAGACCAGAGAGACCAGAGAGAGAGACCAGAGAGACCAGAGAGAGACCAGAGAGAGACCAGAGAGAGAGACCAGAGAGAGACCAGAGAGAGAGACCAGAGAGAGACCAGAGAGAGACCAGAGAGAGAGACCAGAGAGAGAGACCAGAGAGAGCCCAGAGAGAGCCCAGAGAGAGAGACCAGAGAGATCAGAGAGACCAGAGAGAGACCAGAGAGAGAGACCAGAGAGACCAGAGAGAGACCAGAGAGAGACACCAGAGAGAGACCAGAGAGAGAGACCAGAGAGAGACCAGAGAGAGACCAGAGAGAGACCAGAGAGAGACCAGAAAGAAAGACCAGAGAGAGACCAGAGAGAGACCAGAGAGATCAGAGAGACCAGAGAGAGACCAGAGAGACCAGAGAGAGACCCGAGAGAGACCAGAGAGAGACCAGAGAGAGAGACCAGAGAGAGACCAGAGAGAGACCAGAGAGAGAGACCAGAGAGAGACCAGAGAGAGACCAGAGAGAGACCAGAGAGAGACCAGAGAGAGACCAGAGAGTGACCAGAGAGAGAGACCAGAGAGAGACCAGAGAGAGAGATCAGAGAGAGACCAGAGAGAGACCAGAGAGAGAGACCAGAGAGAGACCAGAGAGAGAGACCAGAGAGAGAGACCAGAGAGATCAGAGAGACCAGAGAGAGACCAGAGAGAGACCAGAGAGAGAGACCAGAGAGAGACCAGAGAGAGATCAGAGAGAGACCAGAGAGAGAGACCAGAGAGAGACCAGAGAGATCAGAGAGACCAGAGAGAGAGACCAGAGAGATACCAGAGAGAGAGACCAGAGAGAGACCAGAGAGACCAGAGAGAGAGACCAGAGAGAGACCAGAGAGAGATCAGAGAGAGACCAGAGAGAGAGACCAGAGAGAGACCAGAGAGATCAGAGAGACCAGAGAGAGAGACCAGAGAGATACCAGAGAGAGAGACCAGAGAGAGACCAGAGAGAGACCAGAGAGAGACCAGAGAGAGAGAGAGACCAGAGAGAGAGACCAGAGAGAGACCAATCCAATCTAAACTCTAACTTTTTACTGTCGTAGCGTCTCCGTGTAAACAGAATATGTGACATCACAACTTGGCCCAGGTTTTGTCTTTCTCCTCATTAAACAATCCTCATGTCCCTAATATTATGTGAATAGTATCTCCCTTGGATGTCCAGGTCCTCTGTGGGAAAGATCCTCTCCTGGTTTCTCTCCTGGTTTATCTGTTGGTTTATCCCGCTCCATCTGTAAAGTAAACATTTGTATTTGTGTCCACGTAAATGTCAGGGGGATTTGTGGTCCAGGAGGAGGCTCTCACATCACGGTCTGGGTCTGGGCTCCGTATGACGTCTGTCTGAGAGATTATTATTGTTAGAGAAAGACCAGACAGAGAGACCCGAGAGACCAGAGAGAGACCAGAGAGAGAGACCAGAGAGGGACTAGAGAGAGAGACCCGAGAGACCAGAGAGAGGCCGCAGAGAGAGACTAGAGAGAGAGACCAGAGAGAGACCAGAGAGAGTCCGCAGAGAGAGACTAGAGAGAGAGACCAGAGAGAGACCAGAGAGAGTCCGCAGAGAGAGACTAGAGAGAGAGACCAGAGAGAGACCAGAGAGAGTCCGCAGAGAGAGACTAGAGAGAGAGACCAGAGAGAGACCAGAGAGAGGCCGCAGAGAGAGACTAGAGAGAGAGACCAGAGAGAGACCAGAGAGAGACCAGAGAGATAGACCAGAGAGAGACTAGAGAGAGACTAGAAAGAGAGACCAGAGAGAGACCAGAGAGAGACCAGAGAGATAGACCAGAGAGAGACTAGAGAGAGACTAGAAAGAGACTAGAGAGAGACCAGAGAGAGACCTCCTTGCTCCCATACATACAGTATATATATATATAAAACACACTCACCTTTGGCCCTCCGTGGGCGGTTCTCCCTCTCTCAGCTCTGGTCCTCTACAGAGGCCTGGGAGCCTGAGGTTCTGTGCAGTATCTTTGCTGTTCCTGCACATTTCTGGACCCATACACGTGTCCTACCTCATCGTACACGTGTCGTACCTCATCGTACACGTGTCGTACCTCATCGTACACGTGTCGTACCTCATCGTACACGTGTCGTACCTCATCGTACACGTGTCGTACCTCATCGTACACGTGTCGTACCTCATCGTACACGTGTCGTACCTCATCGTACACGTGTCGTACCTCATCGTACACGTGTCGTACCTCATCATACACGTGTCGTACCTCATCGTACACGTGTCGTACCTCATCGTACACGTGTCGTACCTCATTGTACACGTGTCGTACCTCATCGTACACGTGTCGTACCTCATCGTACACGTGTCGTACCTCATCGTACACGTGTCGTACCTCATCGTACACGTGTCGTACCTCATCGTACACGTGTCATACCTCATCATACCTGTGTCGTACCTCATCGACCTCCAGCTGTGAGAGCAGTTGCCGTTTGTTGTTGGAGCATTGAGCTTCCAGTTGTTTCAGGCTCAACTGTGACTGTGGGTTTCGAAGTAACCATTCAGCCCAAATTCTCTGCATGTAACCTCTTTGGCCAGGGTTACTCGAGTAGTAGCATTTCAACAGAGCCCACTTTTGCCTTGTTCCAGAATTATATATATATATATATATATATATATATATATATACATATATACATATATACAGTGCCTTGCGAAAGTATTCGGCCCCCTTGAACCTTTCAACATTTCGCCAAATTTCAGGCTTCAAACATAAAGATACATTTTTTTATTTTTTGTCATGAATCAACAACAAGTGGGACACAATCGTGAAGTGGAACGAAATGTATTGGATAATTTAAACTTTTTTAACAAATGAAAAACTGAAAAGTGGGGCGTGCAATATTATTGGGCCCCTTTACTTTCAGTGCAGCAAACTCAGTCCAGAAGTTCAGTGAGGATCTTTGAATGATCCAATGTTGTCCTAAATGACTGATGATGATAAATAGAATGCACCTGTGTGTAATCAAGTGTCCGTATAAATGCACCTGCTCTTTGATAGTCTCAGGGTTCTGTTTAAAGCGCAGAGAGAACCATGAAGACAAAGGAACACACCAGGCAGGTCCGAGATACTGTTGTGGAGAAGTTTAAAGCCGGATTTGGATACAAAAAGATTTCCCAAGCTTTAAACATCTCAAGGAGCACTGTGCAAGCAATTATATTGAAATGGAAGGAGTATCAGACCACTGCAAATCTACCAAGACCCGGCCGTCCCTCCAAACTTTCATCTCAAACAAGGAGCAGACTGATCAGAGATGCAGCCAAGAGGCCCATGATCACTCTGGATGAACTGCAGATAACTACAGCTGAGGTGGGAGAGTCTGTCCTTAGGACAACAATCAGTCGTGCACTGCACAAATCTGGCCTTTATGGAAGAGTGGCAAGAAGAAAGCCATTTCTCAAAGATATCCATAAAAAGTCTGGTTTAAAGTTTGCCACAAGCCACCTGGGAGACACACCAAACATGTGGAAGAAGGTGCTCTGGTCAGATGAAACCAAAATCGAACTTTTTGGCCACAATGCAAAACGATATGTTTGGCGTAAAAGCAACACAGCTCATCACCCTGAACACACCATCCCCACTGTCAAACATGGTGGTGGCAGCATCATGCTTTGGGCCTGCTTTTCTTCAGCAGGGACAGGGAAGATGGCTAAAATTGATGGGAAGATGGATGGAGCCAAATACAGGACCATTCTGGAAGAAAACCTGTTGGAGTCTGCAAAAGACCTGAGACTGGGACGGAGATTTATCTTCCAACAGGACAATGATCCAAAACATAAAGCCAAATCTACAATGGAATGGTTCACAAATAGACGTATCCAGGTGTTAGAATGGCCAAGTCAAAGTCCAGACCTGAATCCAATCGAGAATCTGTGGAAAGAGCTGAAGACTGCTGTTCACAAACGCTCTCCATCCAACCTCACTGAGCTCGAATATTGCACGCCCCACTTTTCAGTTTTTTATTTGTTAAAAAAGTTTAAATTATCCAATACATTTAGTTCCACTTCACGATTGTGTCCCACTTGTTGTTGATTCTTGACAAAAAAATTAATTTTTATATCTTTATGTTTGAAGTCTAAAATGTGGCGAAATGTTGAAAGGTTCAAGGGGGCCGAATACTTTCGCAAGGCACTGTATATAATATTGGCTCATTTACTGGTTGAAAAACACTGTAATGTGGCACTTGAAATGTGCTCTGATCATATTAAGACTTAGTGTAAAAGACATCCATGTTGTTGTGTCTGTGGCCATCTCCAGCTTCATATTAAACCTTTGTCTGTCTTTCATATAAATGTCATTTTGTTTTTTACTAATAAACTCTGAAAACCTTTCCGTGTGAATAAACCACGTCCTTTTTGATTAACGCGCTTCAAAGACGTCTCCAAGAATAAGACGTTGCACTTAATAAGTCTCGGCCGCCGTCAGCTTTTGTGTTAATTTTAGCGTTTTGTAAAATGTCACCGTTTGTGCGACCCCTCGACATCGACGCACAATCGCTCGCTCCGCATTCACCGCACGACTCGCACTTTGTCAAATTATTGCTTCTTTTTCCTCCAAAGTGCAACCGTGTCACTGTCTGTTGAAGCGCCACCGGTTGTTGTCATGGCGATGCTAGGCTATTCTGTGAAGCCGTATAGTCCACTACACTACACTATTATGTACCGTTATGGTTTTTATAGACCTACAATGGAAAATGGTTCTGTTTCCTCTGATTGGCTCTTTGGCCGTCCAATCAAATGTAAGCAGACACAGACAGAGGTCCAGGCTCGGGTCCAGGCTCGGGTCCAGGCTCGGGTCCAGGCTCGGGTCCAGGCTCGGGTCCAGGCTCGGGTCCAGGCTCGGGTCCAGGCTCGGGTCCAGGCTCGGGGCAGTTAATCTGACCACAGCAGTTAATCTGACCAGAGCAGTTAATCTGACTACAGCAGTTAATCTGACCACAGAAGTTAATCTGACCACAGCAGTTAATCTGACCACAGCAGTTAATCTGACCACAGCAGTTAATCTGACCACAGCAGTTAATCTGACCACAGAAGTTAATCTGACTACAGCAGTTAATCTGACCACAGCAGTTAATCTGACCACAGCAGTTAATCTGACCAGAGCAGTTAATCTGACTACAGCAGTTAATCTGACCACAGAAGTTAATCTGACCACAGCAGTTAATCTGACCACAGCAGTCAATCTGACCAGAGCAGTTAATCTGACTACAGCAGTTAATCTGACCACAGAAGTTAATCTGACCACAGCAGTCAATCTGACCAGAGCAGTCAATCTGACCACAGCAGTTAATCTGACCACAGCAGTTAATCTGACCACAGCAGTCAATCTGACCACAGCATTTAATCTGACCACAGCAGTCAATCTGACCACAGCAGTTAATCTGACCACAGCAGTTAATCTGACCACAGCAGTCAATCTGACCACAGCAGTTAATCTGACCACAGCAGTTAATCTGACCACAGCAGTCCCATAGACTGTATATAAATGCTTCCTGTTAGCATTTAGCCTTCGACAAACGTGTGTGTATTTCAAGTTATATTCACCAGTTTTAGTGCGTAATAAAAGTCAGTAAAAGGTAAATCTGAATAAAACTGTGTGTGTGAATGGTTGGTGGTGGGAGGGGCCGATGGCACAGACTGGTTGCCTCTTGCTCCTGTCTGTGTGCCCCAGGGCAGCTCTGGCTACGGTCGTATGAACATTGGAGAGTCTAAAAAAGCCGCTGTATAAAACCAATGCCTTATTATTAACAATTGAACATCGATAGAAAGGTAGTGATAACCTTCTAGAACATTCTGACTGAAGCTCAGACCCTTCCACAGAATCCCAGGTGTCTCCTTTAAACTGGTTCTGAATAATATTATCCAGGGACAGTAAACAGCCTCAGAAGCAGAGACCAGGCCTCGCTGACCCCGTGCTTTGGCTGCGTCCTCTTTTCCCTGTGAGTGTGAAGTGGGTCGGGTCGAACAGGTGGCGCTGCTGCTGGTGTCATCCTAATGAGACGGCCACAGACACACTCGGAGATCTTTTACCCATGGTGCACTGCTCCCATGGGGGTCAGGCTATTTACAGAGTGACTTACTGTTTCATCTGTTATGGATGGAACTTCAACAACGGGATCAATAATGTATGTACAGTATGTATGTATGTACAGTATGTATGTATGTACAGTATGTATGTACAGTATGTATGTATGTACAGTATGTATGTATGTACAGTATGTATGTACAGTATGTATGTATGTACAGTATGTATGTACAGTATGTATGTATGTACAGTATGTATGTATGTGCAGTATGTATGTACAGTATGTATGTATGTATGTACAGTATGTATGTATATATGTACAGTATGTACTGTATGTATGTACAATATGTACAGTATGTATGTACAGTGTGTATGTATGTACGTATGTGTGTATGTATGTATGTATGTGTACAGTATGTATGTGTGTGTGTGTGTGTGTGTATGTGTGTATCTATCTATGTATCTTTACTTATAAATATATCTCTATGTTCTATCCATCTACAGCAGAGGTCTCCAGTGTGTCTTGTGAGCTCCTAGTAGCTCTCCAGCTGTTTCAGGGAGCTCCCAGTAGCTCCCCAGCCCTTTCAGGGAGCTCCTAGTAGCTCCCCAGCCCTTTCAGGGAGCTCCTGAATGATTCACCTTTGAGTCGTTTCATTTGAACTATAAACCTTGTGATAGATGCAGAGACACTGTTGCATTTGCATCCTCTTTATTAAAGCTATTTATACATAAGTTGATTGACAGTTTAATGGTACATACTCTGCATGTGTGTTCTCCACTTTACAGCCGCCCCACTGTGGCACCTGCTGTTATCCCAGAGGTCTCCCATCACAGCATTAACCAGCCCCTGCCCTGCTTAGCTTCAGAGGTCTGACAGGATCCTTCCCCTGCAGCTGTGTGATTGGTCATGCTGTTGGGTTATGTTTATATTTTACAGATGAAAAAGGCAAATTTCTCTGTTAATTTTCCAGTAGATTCCATTGTTTTTCATTTAAAACACTAAATATTTCAGTTTTACGGAGGTGAATTATGATTCTGAGAGTAAATTGATACAACAGAAAGCTTCGAATGTTTGAGGTTTTACTGTGTGTGTAAAAACGTGACGATAAACCAGTAAAAAGGGTGTCACGCCACATACAGTGTCCTCTAAAAGCCCGTGTCGGCTCCGTCTACTCCCTGCTCTCTGACACTAAATCACAGCTATAGACCGCACCCCGAGTCTGATCAATGTGACCTTCGGAGCCAGAGCCTGGGACCGGCTTCGGGCTTCGGGCTTAGAGCAGGGGTCTCACGTTTGTCTCGGAAAATGGATCCAAACGACAGCTCTCTCTCGTCAAGCCTCAGTCGCTAATGGACATTAAGTGATATGTCTGTACAGTATGAGAGAGGGTCCATTGGAACGAATGGGGAGGAAGAGTTAGAGCTCCCTCTATTGGGCAAAGCAGGGATTGTCTGGCGTGAAGTGGGTTTGCTTTAGAGGTTCCAGTTGCTAGATTAGATTATGTATTTTTATTTTAGTTATATACAATTCAATGTATTTTTGTATTTATCTCAGAGGACGCTACGAAACCATTGAATTCACCAACACAGATCAGAGAATCAAAAAGTTAAAACACAAAGAAACACATGGAGCCATTAGGGGCAGAGACATTTCAGACATTATGACTTGCTACTTTCATAGTTTGCGTTTTTTGTCAGTTCCTGTAAGTTCCTGGGCCGCCTTGCATGATGATGTTTGATGATATACATATGTCGTCAACCACAAACAATCAGTGGGAAAAGTTATTATTCACAGAAAACCCAAACTATGGCCATCAATGACAGGGTATGGACACTTATGATAATCCCTAAATCTGTTTTTGAACCATGCGTTGCAACAGTGACATGTCCCCACTGTGTTATGAAAACAGGTCTGTGTGTCCCTCTTCTACTGTAGCCAGTATGTATATTCTTTATCTATATCTATTAATGTACTACTATCGTATACTTACTATTTACTGACACTACTACTACTGCTACTACTGCTACTACTGCTACTGCTACTACTGCTACTACTGCTGCTACTACTGCTACTACTACTGCTACTACTTCCACTACTACTACTGTGACATCAACAGAACAGTGAGTACGTTTTCCGTCCTTTCTCCTTGATTTGTCTTTTGTTCACTTTCCAAAACAAACCAAATGAGCCGCCATTTTGTTTGAGTGAAACGTATCATGTTTAATTGAAGAAACGTACAGTAAGGAGCGAGTGGGCGACACAGGAGAGAGCGGATATTCAGGCTTTGTGTGTGTGTGTGTGTGTGTGTGTGTGTGTGTGTGTGTGTGTGTGTGTGTGTGTGTGTGTGTGTGTGTGTGTGTGTGTGTGTGTGTGTGTGTGTGTGTGTGTGTGTGTGTGTGTGTGTGTGTGTGTGTGTGTGTGTGTGTGTGTGTGTGTGTGTGTGTGAGAGAGAGAGAGAGAGGTGGGCGAATGAATAGAATCCATATGATACATTATGGATATAGAGTATAATGGGTTTGGGTGGCATCCAGAGAGGATTGAGTCCGACAGTGAAGCGTACCTCCAGCCCCGTAGCCATATCTGCAGATTTAAAAATGCATCACTTGTTGTTGTCGTCCTTCTTCAGCTGTTTTTTCAGACGATTCTTTAGTTCAGAACTGGAAACGGGGAAATAAAACTTAGTCACACAGTGGAGGGAACAATCACAGTTTCAGTTCAAAGTGATGAAAAATTAGTCCAAAATTGATTAAATTTGGCTGAATGTGTCTTAATTTGAGCACATTCTGAATGAGCAGGATTTACAGCAACAGTTCTTGAAAAAAGACTAAATGGCTCTCTGGTCTCTCTCTCTGGTCTCTCTCTCTGGTCTCTCTCTCTGGTCTCTCTCTGGCCTCTCTCTGGTCTCTCTCTGGTCTCTCTCTCTGGTCTCTCTCTGGCCTCTCTCTGGTCTCTCTCTGGTCTCTCTCTGGTCTCTCTCTCTCTCTGGTCTCTCTCTCTGGTCTCTCTCTGGTCTCTCTCTGGTCTCTCTCTGGTCTCTCTCTGGTCTCTCTCTGGTCTCCTCTGGTCTCTCTCTGGCCTCTCTCTCTCTCTGGTCTCTCTCTGGTCTCTCTCTGGTCTCTCTCTGGCCTCTCTCTGGTCTCTCTCTGGTCTCTCTCTGGTCTCTCTCTCTGGTCTCTCTCTGGTCTCTCTCTGGTCTCTCTCTGGTCTCTCTCTGGTCTCTCTCTCTGGTCTCTCTCTCTGGTCTCTCTCTCTGGTCTCTCTCTGGTCTCTCTCTGGTCTCTCTCTGGTCTCTCTCTGGTCTCTCTCTGGTCTCTCTCTGGTCTCTCTCTGGTCTCTCTCTGGTCTCTCTCTGGTCTCTCTCTCTGGTCTCTCTCTGGTCTCTCTCTGGTCTCTCTCTGGTCTCTCTCTGGTCTCTCTCTGGTCTCTCTCTGGTCTCTCTCTCTCTGGCCTCTCTCTGGTCTCTCTCTGGTCTCTCTCTGGTCTCTCTCTGGTCTCTCTCTGGTCTCTCTCTGGTCTCTCTCTGGTCTCTCTCTCTGGTCTCTCTCTGGTCTCTCTCTGGTCTCTCTCTGGTCTCTCTCTGGTCTCTCTCTGGTCACTCTCTGGTCACTCTCTGGTCACTCTCTGGTCTCTCTCTGGTCTCTCTCTGGTCTCTCTCTGGTCTCTCTCTGGTCTCTCTCTGGTCTCACTCTGGTCTCACTCTCTGCTCTCTCTCTAGTCTCTCTCTCTGGTCTCTCTCTCTGGTCTCTCTCTGGTCTCTCACTGGTCTCTCTCTGGTCTCTCACTGGTCTCTCTCTCTGCTCTCTCTCTCTGCTCTCTCTCTGGTCTCTCTCTCTGGTCTCTCTCTCTGGTCTCTCTCTGCTCTCTCTCTAGTATCTCTCTCTGGTCTCTCTCTGCTCTCTCTCTAGTCTCTCTCTCTGGTCTCTCTCTGGTCTCTCTCTGGTCTCTCTCTGGTCTCTCTCTGGTCTCTCTCTGGTCTCTCTCTCTCTGCTCTCTCTCTAGTCTCTCTCTCTGGTCTCTCTCTCTGGTCTCTCTCTCTGGTCTCTCTGCTCTCTCTCTAGTCTCTCTCTATGGTCTCTCTCTGGTCTCTCTCTGGTCTCTCTCTGGTCTCTCTCTCTGGTCTCTCTCTCTGGTCTCTCTCTGGTCTCTCTCTCTGGTCTCTCTCTCTGCTCTCTCTCTAGTCTCTCTCTCTCTGGTCTCTCTGCTCTCTCTCTCTAGTCTCTCTCTCTAGTCTCTCTCTCTGGTCTCTCTCTCTGCTCTCTCTCTGCTCTCTCTCTGCTCTCTGGTCTCTCTCTGGTCTCTCTCTAGTCTCTCTGGTATCTCTCTGGTCTCTCTCCAGTCTCTCTCTCTGGTCTCTCTCTGGTCTCTCTCTCTGGTCTCTCTCTGGTCTCTCTCTGGTCTCTCTCTCTGGTCTCTCTCTGGTCTCTCTCTGGTCTCTCTCTCTGGTCTCTCTCTGGTCTCTCTCTCTGGTCTCTCTCTCTGGTCTCTCTCTCTGGTCTCTCTGGTCTCTCTCTGCTCTCTCTCTCTAGTCTCTCTCTCTGGTCTCTCTGGTCTCTCTCTCTGCTCTCTCTGCTCTCTCTCTCTGGTCTCTCTGGTCTCTCTCTGCTCTCTCTCTCTGGTCTCTCTCTCTGGTCTCTCTCTCTGGTCTCTCTCTGGTCTCTCTCTGCTCTCTGGTCTCTCTCTGGTCTCTCTCTGGTCTCTCTCCGGTCTCTCTCTCTGGTCTCTCTCTGGTCTCTCTCTGGTCTCTCTCTGGTCTCTCTCTGGTCTCTCTCTGGTCTCTCTCTGGTCTCTCTCTGGTCTCTCTCTGGTCTCTCTCTCGTCTCTCTCTGGTCTCTCTCTGGTCTCTCTCTGGTCTCTCTCTGGTCTCTCTCTGGTCTCTCTCTGGTCTCTCTCTGGTCTCTCTCTGGTCTCTCTCTGGTCACTCTCTGGTCTCTCTCTCTGGTCTCTCTCTCTGCTCTCTCTCTAGTCTCTCTCTGGTCTCTCTCTCTGGTCTCTCTCTGGTCTCTCTCTCTGGTCTCTCTCTCTGGTCTCTCTCTGGTCTCTCTCTGGTCTCTCTCTGGTCTCTCTCTCTCTGGTCTCTCTCTCTGGTCTCTCTCTGGTCACTCTCTGGTCACTCTCTGGTCACTCTCTGGTCTCTCTCTGGTCTCTCTCTCTCTGCTCTCTCTCTCTGCTCTCTCTCTGGTCTCTCTCTGGTCTCTCTCTCTGCTCTCTCTCTCTGCTCTCTCTCTAGTCTCTCTCTCTCTGGTCTCTCTCTCTGGTCTCTCTCTGCTCTCTCTCTAGTATCTCTCTCTGGTCTCTCTCTGCTCTCTCTCTGGTCTCTCTCTGGTCTCTCTCTGGTCTCTCTCTCTCTGCTCTCTCTCTAGTCTCTCTCTCTGGTCTCTCTCTCTGGTCTCTCTCTCTGGTCTCTCTGCTCTCTCTCTAGTCTCTCTCTATGGTCTCTCTCTGGTCTCTCTCTGGTCTCTCTCTGGTCTCTCTCTCTGGTCTCTCTCTGGTCTCTCTCTCTGGTCTCTCTCTCTCTGCTCTCTCTCTAGTCTCTCTCTCTGGTCTCTCTGCTCTCTCTCTCTAGTCTCTCTCTCTAGTCTCTCTCTCTGGTCTCTCTCTCTGGACTCTCTCTCTGCTCTCTATCTGCTCTCTCTCTGCTCTCTGGTCTCTCTCCAGTCTCTTTCTTGTCTCCAGTCTCTCTCTGGTCTCTCTCCAGTCTCTCTCTGGTCTCTCTCTGATCTCTCTCTCTGGTCTCTCTCTGGTCTCTCTCTGGTCTCTCTCTCTGGTCTCTCTCTGGTCTCTCTCTGGTCTCTCTCTGGTCTCTCTCTCTGGTCTCTCTCTGGTCTCTCTCTGGTCTCTCTCTCTGGTCTCTCTCTCTGGTCTCTCTGGTCTCTCTCTGCTCTCTCTCTCTAGTCTCTCTCTCTGGTCTCTCTGGTCTGCTCTCTCTGGTCTCTCTCTCTGCTCTCTCTCTCTGGTCTCTCTGGTCTCTCTCTCTGCTCTCTCTCTCTGCTCTCTCTCTCTGGTCTCTCTCTGGTCTCTCTCTCTGGTCTCTCTCTCTGGTCTCTCTCTGGTCTCTCTCTGGTCTCTCTCTCTGGTCTCTCTCTCTGGTCTCTCTGGTCTCTCTCTGGTCTCTCCTAGTCTCTCTCTCTGGTCTCTCTGGTCTCTCTCTCTGGTCTCTCTCTCTGGTCTCTCTCTCTGCTCTCTCTCTCTGCTCTCTCTGGTCTCTCTCTCTGCTCTCTCTCTCTGGTCTCTCTCTGCTCTCTCTCTCTGGTCTCTCTCTCTGGTCTCTCTCTCTGGTCTCTCTCTGGTCTCTCTCTGGTCTCTCTCTGGTCTCTCTCTGGTCTTTCTCCGGTCTCTCTCTCTGGTCTCTCTCTGGTCTCTCTCTGGTCTCTCTCTGGTCTCTCTCTGGTCTCTCTCCGGTCTCTCTCTCTGGGCTCTCTCTCTCTGGTCTCTCTCTCTGGTCTCTCTCTGGTCTCTCTCTCTGGTCTCTCTCTCTGGTCTCTCTCTGGTCTCTCTCTGGTCTCTCTCTCTGGTCTCTCTCTGGTCTCTCTCTCTGGTCTCTCTCTCTGGTCTCTCTCTGGTCTCTCTCTGGTCTCTCTCTCTGGTCTCTCTCTCTGGTCTCTCTCTCTGGTCTCTCTCTGGTCTCTCTCTGGTCTCTCTCTCTGGTCTCTCTCTCTGGTCTCTCTCTCTGGTCTCTCTCTGGTCTCTCTCTGGTCTCTCTCTGGTCTCTCTCTCTGGTCTCTCTCTCTGGTCTCTCTCCGGTCTCTCTCTCTGGTCTCTCTCTCTGGTCTCTCTCTCTGGTCTCTCTCTGGTCTCTCTCTGGTCTCTCTCTCTGGTCTCTCTCTCTGGTCTCTCTCTCTGGTCTCTCTCTGGTCTCTCTCTGGTCTCTCTCTGGTCTCTCTCTGGTCTCTCTCTCTGGTCTCTCTCTCTGGTCTCTCTCCGGTCTCTCTCTCTGGTCTCTCTCTCTGGTCTCTCTCTCTGGTCTCTCTCTGGTCTCTCTCTGGTCTCTCTCGCTGGTCTCTCTCTGGTCTCTCTCTCTGGTCTCTCTCTGGTCTCTCTCTGGTCTCTCTCTGGTCTCTCTCTCTGGTCTCTCTCTGGTCTCTCTACCTCGAGGGTATTCTCGGCATCTCATTATTGAAGAGTTTGAGCATCTCGGCGTTGACCATGTGCGGTGTGAGGTGTACGGTGGATTCATTTGGTCTGAAACAAAACATGAAATAAACAGAAAGATTCCTAAAATACAATAAGACATTCTCTCTCACGGTTTGTCCTTCCACGGCCTGAGCTCCGGCGGCGGCTCCCGGAGGTGAGGAGCCGCAGGTGGAAGGATTTCTTTCCCGTAGATGGATCTGGAGACACACAAACACAAAGAGAAGGAGACATTTTGGTTCAAACAGGATCAAAGAAACGTCTCAGAGAAAAACGTTTGAAGCCAAAGTACTTGTTCTCAGACTCACACACACTCACAGACACACACTCACAGACTCATACACACTCAGACTCATACACACTCACAGACTAACACACACTCACAGACTCATACACACACACAGACACACACTCACAGACTCACAGACTCATACACACTCACAGACACACACACACTCACAGACTCATACACACTCACAGACTCATACACACTCACAGACTCACACACACTCACAGACTCATACACACTCACAGACTCATACACACTCACAGACTCACACACACTCACAGACTCATACACACTCACAGACTCATACACACTCACAGACTCATACACACTCACAGACTCATACCCACTCACAGACTCACACACACTCACAGACTCATACACACTCACAGACTCACACACACTCACAGACTCATACACACTCAGACTCACACACACTCACAGACTCATACACACTCACAGGCTCATACACACTCACAGACTCATACACACTCACAGACTCACAGACTCATACACACTCACAGACTCATACACACTCATAGACTCACACACACTCACAGACTCATACACACTCACAGACTCACACACACTCACAGACTCATACACACTCACAGACTCATACACACTCACAGACTCACACACACTCACAGACTCATACACACTCACAGACTCACACACACACAGACTCATACACACTCACAGACTCATACACACTCACAGACTCATACATACTCAGACTCACACACACTCACAGACTCATACACACTCAGACTCATACACACTCACAGACTCATACACACTCACAGACTCACACACACTCACAGACTCATACACACTCCAGACTCATGAGTGTGTGAGTCTGTGAGTCTGTGAGTGTGTGTGAGTCTGTGAGTGTGTGTGAGTCTGTGAGTGTGTATGAGTCTGTGAGTGTGTATGAGTCTGTGAGTGGGTATGAGTCTGTGAGTGTGTATGAGTCTGTGAGTGTGTATGAGTCTGTGAGTGTGTATGAGTCTGTGAGTGTGTATGAGTCTGTGAGTGTGTGTGAGTCTGTGAGTGTGTGTGAGTCTGTGAGTGTGTATGAGTCTGTGAGTGTGTGTGAGTCTGTGCACTTGTTTTCAACTCCTGGTGGGTTCCATAACCTGAGATTCCACTCACGTCATGGGGACTGGTTTTACGTGGTGGGGCCCGAACACCGGACCCCACTGGTCCAAGCTTAATAATCAATGGGTAATGCTTTTCTAACGGTCCTTATGCAGTCTCTGTAAAAATATGGAAAGGACCCCTGGAGGTTTACTTTCCTGAAAAAAGTGTGTTATGTGTCGGAACCCTGGTGGTGGGTTGCGGGATATCAAGGAGGGGCACACTGGGGCAATTTCAGTCCAGCAGGCTGGAGCCAATCATGGAGCAGCACAACAGAGGAAATCAGGTGTCAGGCTAGAAAAAGGTGCAAGTGTGTGGTTCATTAGGCTGCAAGAAATCATGGAGGAGCACACTGAAGCGCACGCTTACAAACCACTGGTAAGTGCTGACTACAAGTCATGACTTCAAATTGTTATATAGAATGATTACAAATTATTTGTTGTTTGTGCAGCTTAGTCAAGAGTCCCTAATTGATGAAGTCGACTCAGATTCTGACGATTTAACTGTCAAGAAGAAACCTGTAAAAAAGTATGGAAAAAGAAAAATCAAAAACACTTTTCTTCAAGACTCGGAAAGTGACGAACCAAAGGCAAATAAGATTGTTATCATGCAGCTGCAAAAGAAGAAAAATGGGGGGCGAGTATACAGCAAGAGACACTTCTGCCTCTACTGTTCAATGTCCTGCCACAAAATGTCCCGTCATTTGACTAGAAAACATGGAAATGAAAGTGACGTAGCCAGAGCATTGGCTCTACCTGTGAAATCTAAAGCACGTAAACTTCAGTTTGATTTGATCAGGAATAGTGGAAACCGTGAGCACAATTTTGAGGTTTTAAAGGCCGGCATTGGAACTTTAGTCCCAGCTAAACAGCCAAATTGCCCAGTTAAATCCAGTGAGTTTTTGCACTGTATAGACTGTGGGGCATTGCTTAAGCGAAAGTCGCTGTGGAGGCATGTGGCCAGGTGCCGGCTTTCACAGAAAGATGCCCAGGCTAAACCAGGCTAAACCAGGTAGAAGTAGGGTCCAGTCCCTCTGCTCCCTAGCCCAGCCTGTACCGGAGGGCATCAGCAAAAAGCTGTGGTCTTTAATTTCGGCAATGCATCAGGATGAGGTCACGGGTGTTGTCAAAGCAGAAAAGGGGATTCTGAGACTCGGAGAGCACCTGTACTTAAAACACGGGCATGATAAGACAAAGCATGATTACATTAGGCAGAAAATGAGAGAAGTCGGTAGGTTAATTAACGAAGCAAAAACCGCAGGGAAACTGAAAACAATTAAGGATTTCTTTATTCCTTCCAACTTTAACCATGTGATTGATGCAGTCAGGTCTGTGGCTGGATATGATGAGGAAACAAATCAATACAAGACTCCATCCTTGGCCCTCAAACTCGGCCATAGCCTCAGAAAGCTAGCAGATATTCTTGAATGTGACTCAAAAATGGAGCATTGTGTTGATGAACTATTTATTAAAAACCTCCAACGAAGCCGGCTGCTTTTTGAGAAGAGGTGGGACGTCTGTGTTTCTTCTGCTGCCCTACAGACCCTCCGGCAAGCCAAGTGGAACACTCCGGACCTGCTCCCTCTGACTGAGGACGTTAGAGCCATGCATGCACATATTGAGGTATGTCGACCTGAATATGTGCAAACCCTAATAAGTGAGCCAACGTCTAAGCATTGGTCTAAACTGGCAGTTTTGACTCTTTGTGAGGTCATCATTTTCAATCGAAGAAGGGAAGGTGAGGTTTCAAAGATGCCACTGACAGCCTTTACCTTAAGAAGTAAGACTGGGATCCATTCTGACATTGCTCTGGGACTGTCCCAACTTGAGAAAAAGCTGTGTCAGCATTTTCAACGCATTGAAATTAAAGGGAAAAGAAGTCGGAAAGTGCCGGTTCTTTTGACTCCTGAAATGATTGCTTCGATGGAGGTGCTGGTGGAGAACAGAAGGGCCTGTTCCATCTCTGACCATAACCCATACTTCTTTTCCCGCCCGGGCGCAGACACCCACATCAGGGGATCAGACTCCCTACGCCAGGTAGCCAAAGAATGTGGTGCGGTGCATCCAGAGATGCTATCCTCAACCAAACTTAGAAAGCACATAGCTACTATGTCTACAGTTCTCAATATGAAAGAGAATGAGATGGACATACTTGCCAACTTCCTCGGCCATGACATTCGCATCCACAGGCAATATTACAGACTACCAGAGGGGACACTGGAGCTGGCCAAAATCAGCAAAGTGTTGATGGCCATGGAGCAGGGAAGAGTGACGGAATTCGAAGGAAAGAGCCTCGACCAGATACAAATTGAGCCTGAAGGTAATTCTTGATATTATTAAAATATGTATGATTTTTTTCCCCTAAAGGCCACTTGTATTTTTATTTTCTGTGCGACAGGGAGAGCAGTAGAGATCCTCTCACAAACGGACGGGCTAAAAGAAACTTCAAGCGGAGAACCTTCAACCATTCATCCAGATGCACCCCATGGTAGTGGCAGTGCCCCTTCTGGTAAGTGTACCAGGTGGGGGATTACAGCCAGGCTGCTTGGTCCTCACCCTGGGAGTGTATATTGCTAATATATTTTTATTTCTCTCCCTAGAACGTGTAAGAAAGCCATGGTCTGCATCTGAGGTGAAGGCTGTGGAGAAGACCATGACACCTTTCATACAGACTGGAAAGGTCCCTGGGAAGTCTCACTGCCTGGCCTGCATTAATGCCTCACCAGATGACCTTAGACATCGGACATGGAGTGGCATTAAATTCTATGTCAAAAATAGAATCACTGCAATTCGAAAACAAAATCTAAAATAAAATTCCTTTAAAATAGTTGTTTGGTTTCTATTGACTGTTTTGTATTACTTAAAGTCTTGGTAAAAAAAGATTATGTCTATGGGTCCCATTCTGAACGGCCCTGTCAAAGGGACCCACCAGGTAACAAAAACGTGTATGTGTGAGTGTGTATGAGTCTGTGTGTGTGTGTATGAGTCTGTGTGTGTGTATGAGTCTGTGAGTGTGTATGAGTCTGTGAGTGTGTATGAGTCTGTGAGTGTGAGTCTGTGAGTGTGAGTCTGTGAGTGTGTATGAGTCTGTGAGTGTGTATGAATCTGTGAGTGTGTATGAGTCTGTGAGTGTGTATGAGTCTGTGAGTGTGTATGAGTCTGTGAGTGTGTATGACTCTGTGAGTGTGTATGAGTCTGTGAGTGTGTATGAGTCTGTGAGTGTGTATGAGTCTGTGAGTGTGAGTCTGTGAGTGTGTATGAGTCTGTGAGTGTGTATGAGTCTGTGAGTGTGTATGAGTCTGTGAGTGTGTATGAGTCTATGAGTGTGTATGAGTCTGTGAGTGTGTATGAGTCTGAGTGTGTATTAGTCTATGAGTCTGTGAGTGTGTATGAGTCTGTGAGTGTGTATGAGTCTGTGAGTGTGTATTAGTCTGTGAGTGGGTATGAGTCTGAGTGTGTATTAGTCTATGAGTCTGTGAGTGTGTATGAGTCTGTGAGTGTGTATGAGTCTGTGAGTGTGTATGAGTCTGTGAGTGTGTATGAGTCTATGAGTGTGTATGAGTCTGTGAGTGTGTATTAGTCTGTGAGTGTGTATTAGTCTGTGAGTGTGTATGAGTCTGTGAGTGTGTATGAGTCTGTGAGTGTGTATGAATCTGTGAGTGTGTATGAGTCAGTGAGTGTGTCTGTGAGTGTGTATGAATCTGTGAGTGTGTATGAGTCTGTGAGTGTGTATGAGTCTGTGAGTGTGTATGAGTCTGTTGTGAGTGTGGATGAGTCTGTGAGTGTGTATGAATCTGTGAGTGTGTATGAGTCTGTGAGTGTGTATGAATCTGTGAGTGTGTATGAGTCTGAGTGTGTATGAGTCTGTGAGTGTGTATGAGTCTGAGTGTGTATGAGTCTGTGAGTGTGTATGAGTCTGTGAGTGTGTATGAATCTGTGAGTGTGTATGAGTCTGTGAGTGTGAGTCTGTGAGTGTGTATGAGTCTGTGAGTGTGTGTGAGTCTGTGAGTGTGTGTGAGTCTGTAAGTGTGTGTGAGTCTGTGAGTGTGTGTGAGTCTGTGAGTGTGTGTGAGTGTGTATGAGTCTGTGAGTGTGTGTGAGTCTGTGAGTGTGTATGAGTCTGTGAGTGTGTATGAGTCTGTGAGTGTGTGTGAGTCTGTGAGTGTGTATGAGTCTGTGAGTGTGTGAGTCTGTGAGTGTGTATGAGTCTGTGAGTGTGTATGAGTCTGTGAGTGTGTATGAGTCTGTGAGTGTGTATGAGTCTGTGAGTGTGTATGAGTTTGTGAGTGTGTATGAGTGTGTATGAGTCTGTGAGTGTGTGTGAGTGTGTATGAGTCTGTGAGTGTGTGTGAGTCTGTGAGTGTGTGTGAGTCTGTGAGTGTGTGTGAGTCTGTGAGTGTGTATGAGTCTGAGTGTGTGTGAGTCTGTGAGTGTGTGTGAGTCTGTGAGTGTGTGTGAGTCTGTGAGTGTGTATGAGTCTGTGAGTGTGTATGAGTCTGTGAGTGTGTATGAGTCTGTGAGTGTGTATGAGTCTGTGAGTGTGTATGAGTGTGTATGAGTCTGTGAGTGTGTGTGAGTGTGTATGAGTCTGTGAGTGTGTGTGAGTCTGTGAGTGTGTGTGAGTCTGTGAGTGTGTGTGAGTCTGTGAGTGTGTATGAGTCTGTGAGTGTGTGTGAGTCTGTGAGTGTGTGTGAGTCTGTGAGTGTGTATGAGTCTGTGAGTGTGTATGAGTCTGTGAGTGTGTATGAGTCTGTGAGTGTGTATGAGTCTGTGAGTGTGTATGAGTGTGTGTGAGTCTGTGAGTGTTTGTGAGTCTGTGAGTGTGTGTGAGTCTGAGTGTGAGTCTGAGTCTGTGAGTGTGTATGAGTCTGTGAGTGTGTATGAGTCTGTGAGTGTGTATGAGTCTGTGAGTGTGTGTGAGTCTGTGAGTGTGTATGAGTCTGTGATTGTGTGTGAGTCTGTGAGTGTGTATGAGTCTGTGAGTGTGTGTGAGTCTGTGAGTGTGTGTGAGTCTGTGAGTG